CTGCGGGGGCCCCTCGGGGGGCCCCTGGGGGCGCCTCTTGAGAGGTCTTTAAGGGGCCCTCTGGGGGGGGCCCTGTGGGGGCCCCTGGGGGGGCCCCTGAGGGGGCCCCCTGGGGGGCCCCCGGGGGACTGCCGGGGCCCCCAAAGGGCCCCAGGGGACCCCCAGGGCCAGGGGCCCCCAAGGGGCCCCCAGAGGGGAGGGAGGGGGCCCCCGTGCGGTGGCAGGGGCTGGATGTGGCCCCCGGCATTGGGCTGCTGCTGCTGTTGCTGTGCAGCAGCAGCAGCAGCAGCAGCACCGCGTGCTGCTGCTGCTGCCTCTGCTGCTGCTGCTGCCAGCAGGGGGCCCACAAATTGCCCCTAAAAAACTAAACTGCAGCAAACATTTGATGGGGGCCCTCTCCTCTTCAGTGCCCCATGGGGCCCCCAGGGGCCCCCAGGGGCTCCCTGGGGGGCCCCCAGGGGGCCCCTGGGGGCTCCCAGTGGGCACGGCCTGCTGCAGCATTGTGTATAAATGCAATATAAAAAGAATGTTCTTTGTTTATTATTTATTATTTATTTATTATTTAATTTAATTTAATGTAGTTTAATTTATTTATTTATATTTATTTCTTTGTTTAGCATTTTCGGCCAATCTCTTCCGTGGGTGACTACCTGGCTTGGCGCTGGGGTTATCGTTGCAAACCCTAAACCCTAAGCCCTAAACCCTAAACCCTATACCATAAACTCCAAACCCTAGACCCTAACCTTTGAGCTCTAGCCCCTGAACACTAAACCCTAAACACTAAACCCTAAACCCTAAAAGTGCGCCAGTGCAGGCCGCTGGCGTCTTCGCGTTAAAGTCTGTGTACAGCCTGCTACACCAGCAGCAGCAGCAGCAGCAGCAGCTGCTGCTGCTGCTGCTGCTGTAATCCAGAGCTAGCTCCAGATTGCTGCAAGCAGCTGGACTTTAAAAAGTCCTTTTGTTTTAAATTAAAACTGGAATGGTTCGGGTGTATAGGCAGCTGTTTGAGGTGTATAGGCAGCTTTTTGAGGTGTATAGGCAGCTGTTTGAGGTGTACGTACACCTCAAGGCTGGCGTTTCGTGGGGTGAGAAGAAGAAAATAAAAGTAGAAAAACAAACAGAGATAAATAAAATGAAAATGAAACAAAAGGAGATAAAAGGAAACAAAAAAAAAACATTTTTTGTTTCTTTTTTCTCCAGTTTCTGCTTTTCAGTTTTGTCTTATTCTTGCTGCTTCAATCACCTGCAGCAACTCCACTTGAAGGGCCCACAGCAGCAGCTGCAGCAGCTGCAGCAGCTGCAGCAGCTGCAGCAGCTGCAACAGCTGCAACAGCTGCAGCAGCCGCAGCCGCAGCAGCCGCAGCAGCAGCATCAGCAGCCGCAGCCGCGGCAGCAGCCACAGCAGCAGCAGCAGCAGCAGCTGAAGCAGCAGCAGCAGCTGCAGCAGCTGCAGCAGCAGCTTCACTAAATGGAGTCTAGGCCGTGCGTGTAGACCTCAGCAACAGCAGACTGCAGCAAACGAGAAAGTATCAAAGAAGACAGCAGCGGCAGCCACTCAGTGCCCCAGCAGCTGCCTCCAGACACAACTGCTGCTGCTGCTGCTGCTGCTGGTGTTGCTGCTGCTACTGCTGCTGCTGCTGGTGCTGCTGTTGCTGCGGCTGCAGCTGGTGGGGGCGGGATTGCCGTCACCGGGGCTGCGGGGCAGGCTGCCGGTGCTGCTGCTGCTTCTGGGTCGGCTGCTGTTGCTGCTGCTGCTCCTGCTGCTGCCCCTGCTGCTGCTGCTGCTGCTGCAGCTGGGGGCGACGCTGCTGCTGCAGGGGGGGGAAGGGACTGAAGCAAATAAAATCAAAATGCGGCAAATAGCAGCAAATAATATAAAAAGTCAAAAAAATAAAAAAAAAGAAATTAATAGAAATTAAAAAGATAAAAGATAAAAGAGGGAAAAAAGAAACAAAAGAATAAAAGAAGAATAAAAGAAATAAAAAAGACACAAAAGCAAGGGATAAAGAAAGACAAAAGGAAACTCAAGGGGGATGAAGGCGAAAACAAAAAGAAATCAAAAAAATTAAAAAAGGAAAAAATAAAAAAGAAAAAAAAGAAACAAAAAAGAAGACAAACAGACACAAAAAAAGAAAAGAAAAAAGAAGCAAAAAAAGAAGAGGGAAATAAAAAAATAAAAATAAAAATAAAAATAATAATAAAAATAATGAAAATAAAACAGAAACAAAACAAAAACAAAAATAAATAAAAATAAAATAGATGCTGACCTCCAGAAAGGGCCATTTAATTTGTCGAAAGTTTTTAATTAAAGGAGACCAGAATTTAAATTCTTGCTGCAGCAGCAGCAAGCTGCGAGTCCCGCCTTCTGCTGCTGCTGCTGCTGCTGCTGCTGCTGCTGCGTGCTGCTGCTTGAGCCGCTGCAGCCGCTGCTGCTGCTGCAGCAGCTGCTGCCGCACCCGCGGGGTGTACGTACACCGCAGCGGGAACTGCTGCGCAAAAGGGACTGTCTCCTCCAGCAGCAAATCTTCAATTAGTTCTTTTGTTTTTTCTTTTTTAATTATTTCATTCAGCAGCAAAATGCAGAGTCTGCAGCAGACCCTCCCGCACACTTCCAAGATGCATGCAGCGCCCCTGGGGGCCCCCGGGGGGCCCCCGGGGGGCCCCCCCAGGGGCCCCTCCGGGGGCCTCTCTTGGGGGGCCCCCCAGGGGGCCCCTTGCTGCTGCACCGCCTCTTGGGGGCCCCCTGCAGCTCCTTGGGGCCCCTCTTGGGGGTCCCCCAGGGGGCCCCCCAAGGCCTCCCAGGCAGGAGGCCCAGCGACTCTATGGGGGGCCCCTGAACCTGGGGGCCCCTGGTGGCCCCCCTGGGGGCCCCCCTGGGGGCCCCCCTGGGGGGCCCCCTGGGGGGCACCCGGAAGTGGACCCCCGGAAGGCCCCTCGGGGGGCCCCTGCAGGGGCCCCCAGGGAGAACCCTGGAGGGCCCCCTGGGGGGCTCCCTGGGGGGGCCCCTGGAAGGACCCCCGAGTGGCTAGTAGGGTTTTGTGTCTGTGGGGTCTTTGAATAAAAGGTAAGGGCTGGGGGCCC